ATAATATGCAGTATCGTAAATCACAAAAACTTATAATTTATTCTGTTTATGTAACCAAAATCGAAAATAATGTTCGAGAGATATTTGTAATCTCGGCTCAAGTCAACAATCCCAAAAAATTAGATCAATGACAGAAAAAGTGAGGAACACTACTCTCGTGGAACGTTACCTATAATTTCAAAAGGATAACTGTCTTGCTTTTTCTAAATTATAATTTTTTACGAGATAATGGTTTTACTTTTCTATTTTCTTTAATAAAGAGTCAAATTATGAATATTGTAAATAAATATATGTTGGGAAGAATTTCTCATAAAGTGAAATAAGAAAAAATCCAATTCCAAATAATGAATCGATTTGAATATTCCCATTGTTTTGGAGAACATAATATTAATGTATTCTTAAAGAGAAAAACAAATTTTCTTGTATAAGACCAATTATTGGCGGACTTAAGAATTCAAAGTAAGGAGACAAGTGACAAATAATACTATAATAGAAAGGAATTAGCCCTAAGTCATCCAACCCCGAGTCCCGAGATGCTAGCACACAAGCCCAAAATAGGGGATGTATTGGATTCGGATTTCAAAGGATTATTTTTAGACAAAAAATCTATTGGTATTCAATTAAAATTTTAAAGGATTAAAAAAAAGTCATATGGTATTCGATTAGGATTTTAAAAGATTATTTCAGAGTCCTTCCAAATTCGTTAGTATTCAATCAGGATTCTAAACAAAGAAAAAATAATTTTGTGGTATTCAAAATCTAATGATTTTAATAGATTTTCTATCGGTGTGCATTTCGTGAAACTTATTAGTGAGAAATATAAATACGATGCCTTCCTCACAATCTCTCCCTAACCCTACGATTTCTTGAGATTTCTATATTACAATGTTTCTTCTTTTTTTGGTGCGGGTTGACCTGCTCGAAATCAGATTTCACCAAGGGAGCTTCATCAAAGATAAAAAATAATATATTTTTGAGCGATTTTCATCACAAAATAAGCCAGAAACAACAAACCAACAAGACTAATATAATCCATATCAAAAACAATAGGATTTTTAGAGCTTTTGTAAGTTTAAAAATAATTTTTCAAGCTATGAGTTGTGTTTTTTCTTGGCACATAAATGTATGATTTTTGTATTAAAAACAACATAAAATAGTGAAAAAAACAACATGGGAACTAAAATCCTCAAACCAATTTTTATTTTACATCAATTAAACAATATCAATTTAAAGAAATCTCCAAAGCAATACATTTATGAACGAAATTCATTCGCTATAGAAAACGATTTCAAATTTTTTTGGTGTCAATAGATAACTAAAGCCTTGTTTTCAAAAGCCCCAAAGCAATTTAAGGTTTCAATGTATCGATTGAAAATAATTAGAGAAATTTTCTAAACTTTTCATGAAATAAAACCCAAAAATTCAGATTCAAAAATTTCTTAGAATACTCAATGAAAAGCATATGATATAAGATTAGAAAACTCTCATCACGTAAAACAAAAATCCCAGGGTTTTCAAGATAAATTGCAAAAATTCCCAAACGAAATTTTATCATGAAATCTATATTCTATATGCAAATTTAGAATTATTTTAATAAATAAAAAAATTGGGTCATATTATCATATATGCATAGCTTTGATACCAAATGAAGAAAATAATTTATAACCCATTGGTCAAACACAAGAGCAGGAACGAGAAAATGCTAATACGTGAAGGACTAATATAGCTTTAGATATGTGAAGAGTTGTTACTTAGTAATTTTGAATGTTTGTTAAAATTTATATTAGATTTCACTTTTTTTTATTAATATCATTGTATTTCTTTGTTATGTTTTTATTGACTCGTGTAATTTTGAATGTTTGTTAAAAATTCACATGATTTTTAAAAATTTTATAAATCCATATTGTCCTTTCAAATATCATAAATTATATTAAAATCTCTTAAAATCCAATCTTATGAAATCTTGATTGTAAAAAAAGTCTTTAAGGTTTCTCCAATTCTAAATAATTTTTAAAATCTATAAGATTTTTTTATCTAAAAAAAAAGTCTTTTAAAATCCCAATCCAATGATCCCTTAGGCTTTGTTTGGGAGTTGGTTTTAGGAGGAAAATGAAAGAAAAATGTGGCTTTTAGTAAGCCCTTTCCTTGTTTGAGTTTAAAAAAACGTGTAGAAGAAATTGGGAAGTTTTACTAAACCCTCCAAAACCCTCCTTCTTCTTAAAATTAAAGTTCTCCCAATTTGGGGGCTTTAAGGGGAGAAATATCAACAATTACTTATCTACCCTTAGCATTAAAATTTGAAAACAATATAAATGTGAATCATTTTTAAATGTGTCATTATTATAAAAGTCTCAAATACCAACAGAATTTACCGACGAAAATATTTCGTCAAAAATAGTGATAATTTTTTTGATGAAAATCATATACATCAAAAATTTTCCATCAAAACTAAAGACGAAACAAGATTTTGCTTTAATCACTAACATTCATTATTAATAGAATGTAAATTTCGTGGAAACTTTCAACGAAAATATTTCCGTCCAGAATTTTGACGAAACATATTTCCATCGAAAAGTTTTGACATAAAACAAGTACGTCAAAATTTTTTATGAAAAACATTTCCATCAAAATTTTCCACAAATATTTTCAACGAAAAATATTTCCATCAAAATTTGTGACAAAAAACACATTTCAGTAAAAAAATTTGACGAAATTTTTTTTTATCAAAATTGTTTACGGAATCTAAATTTCGTCAAAATATTTCACAAAAGAACATATTCATCGAAATTTTTTACGAAACACATTTTCATCGAAAATTTTTTACGGAAAAAAATTTCAATAAAATTCTTTACAGAATTCAAATTCCTTCGAAAGTTTTCGATGAAAACATTTTCGTTAAACTTTTTGACAAAAAAACAATTCTGTCGTAATTTTTAACGAAACACATTTTCATCGATAAAAAATTGTGAAGGAAAAAATATTCTGACAAAATTCTTTGCAGAATCTAAATTTTGTCGAAAGTTTCAAAGGAAACATCTCCCTCAAAATTTTTGACAAAACAATTTTCGTTGAAACTTTCGTCAAAACTCATTTCCATCAAAATTTTGAACGGAAAACATTCTATCAAAATTTTTGACGAAATTTGATAAACCCATGGTCTACCATGTTTTTATGCTAAATTCTACAAGAATTACATGGTAGATTGCATGGAATTCAAGGTGTTATATGATAAAATCATAAAGATTTGAAAATTGAGCGAATGTTTTGATATCTTGCTTAATTTGAAGGTAAATCCACAAGATTTGGTGCTAAGAAGTGATAAAGGAATCATAACAAAGATTTGAAGCTCAATCTGTCAGCCCAATCTGCAAGATCTTAAATAAAAACATAAACAAATCAAGATTTGATTGGGAATTGATAGAGATTCATAGGGAGATTTGATGAAGAATTAAAAGATATGACTTCAAAGGTTATAAATATGGAGCTTGGGGTCAATGGAATTAACTAATTCACAGACACACCAAGGAATTACACAGAGACCCAAGGGAGGAATCCTGTTGCGAAGCGTTGGAGCACTGAGGAACCAAGTCAACATCATACAAATGGAGGCTTGGGGAACTATTTTCTTTCTTATTGCTTTTGAATTCAGTATGCTAGGCTAAGTTTTTCTGTAGTTAGAGGTAGATGGAACCCAATTGAATAGATTTATCCGTCTTTGATGTTTTCTATGAGTTTACTCCTTATAGATTGATTTAGGGGAATTGTATGAAAAATAGGGATGTTAGTGCATGAACCCTGATTTGATAAATTTATCACAATCCTTGTGATCTAGGGATAGACATAGGGAAATTGTGCAATCTTTAAATTCTTGATCTTAATGCATGTTTTCTTGGGGAATAATCGGGGAACTAGAGTTCTTTTAAGATTACATAGATTTAGGGTAACAAGGAATTGAGCCCTAATTAACTTAGAAAGAATTGATTGGCATTATATTAAGAACAGATTCTTGACAGTTTAATTCATAGCATATAGAGGATATTGGGGGAAGTCGAAACCCTAGCTACGCTTGTTTTTTAAATTCTTAATCAATCAATCATCTTTTCAATTGTTCTTTTTCATTCTGAATTTTTATTTACATGTTATTAATTGTTTTTAATTTCCCTTCTCTTCATCTCAATCTTTGTTGTCCAACTAAATCGGTTTTAGCGAACTAGTGCTTGAAAACCAATCCTCGTGGGAACGATCTCGTACTCAGTACACTTTTATTACTTTTACGACCGGTGCACTTGCCGAAGTCGCAACAAGTTTTTGGCGCCGTTGCCGGGGATTGGATCCTTCAACATTAGAAGTAACTAAAAACTGTTTGGATTGGACATTTTAATTTTCTGCACTTAAAAAATTCAGCATCAATTTTCTGCATATTTTGCATTCATTAATTTTCTGCATTTTTTTGTATTTTTTTTCTTTTTTGTTTGCAATTTTCTGTGTTTCTGCACATCTTTTCAATCTTAGTTTATGCGAGGTACTCTTAATCCGCGAATCTTGCAGTTTGATCATGAGATTGAAAAGACAGAAAGAAAACTCAGAAAAAGCGCGAAATAAAGAAAAGAAAAAGAAGCATCAAGCTCGACGGAACCAAAGAAAGAAACGATGGCTGACAACAACGCAATTCAGAATCCTCCAAGGACTTTGTTAGACCAACCGTGGATGCTAACAACTTCGAGCTCAAGCCAGCACTGCTGCAACTAATTCAAAAGGATCAGTTCGCTGGAGGAAGCACGGAAGACCCCTACATTCATCTTGATAACTTCCTGCTCTACTGTGATACATTAAAGATGAATGGAGTCTCACGTGACGCCATTTTGCTTAGACTATTTCCATGCTCACTGAAGGATGAAGCAAGAGCTTGGCTGCAGTCACTGCCTGAAGGAAGCATCACCAACTGGGGCGACTTAGCAATGAAGTTCTTGGCCAGATTCTTCTCAGCTTCAAAGATGGCAAGGCTCAAAGCAGAAATCACTTCTTTTGAACTAAAAGAAAGTGAAACCTTGTATGAAGCATGGGAAAGATTTAAGGGACTACTCCGAAAGTGTCCCCAACATGGTATTGAAACATGGGAGACAGGAAAAATCTTCTTCCAAGGAATGACGCCAAGCACAATAACCTTGGTGAATGCTGCAGCAGGAGGATCATTGAAAACAAAAACTCCAGAAGAAGCGCTAGAACTGTTAGAATCTTTAGCCTCTCAGGAGTATGACAATGCTCTAGCACCACAAAGGAGAGCGAGAATCATGAAGCTTGAAGGCTATGGTGCAATATTGGCTCAGAATGAACAAATACGTCAAATTAATAAAAAACAACAAGCACAATTAGATGCTCTTACAAAGTAATTTAATATTTCTCAAGTTTCTTCTGTTAGTAATTCTAAAGTTACTTGTGGTATTTGTGCAAGTGCTCATGCAACTAAAGATTGTGACTATATGAGGACACCTGAAAATGCTGAAGTCAACGGAATCTGGTATGATTAAAGAACCAGAACAACACAGGGAGGAACCAATATGGGAATAACTATAATCAAGGGTGGAAAAATCCTAACCAACACCCTGGGTTTCGTTACAAGTCAAACCATCAGTTGAACCCTCCTCTGCCACTGCAACAACAGCCCCCGCCTCAAGGCAACACTTCAGAGTGGGAGAAAGCCTTCGCACAACTCTCTAAGACCACTTCAGACTATATTCAAGGTGCAAATGCTTTCAGGGAGGATACATCTGCATTCATGAAAGAGACCAGATCAGAAATCTGGAATCAAGAAACTTCCATAAGAAATTTGTAAACTCAGATTGGCCAGTTATCAAGGCAATTTGCTGAGAGAGCTAAGGGTACCTTTCCAAGAGAAACTGTCATTAATTCTAGAGAGCACTGCAATGCAATTACCACATGAAGTTGGATAATGATTCAACCTATAGAGGAGCAGCCTGAAGAAGAGAAGAATGATGGAAAAGCATCAGTTGAAGAAGAGAAGCAAGAAAAGGCAAAGGATACTATTAAAGTTGACAAGGGCAATCCTGAAAAAGTTGAAAGGAAATTATTTAAACGGGAGAAGAAAAAAAAAGCTCAAGAAAGACAAGACAAGCCCTTAGATCTCTCCCCATATGCTCGAATCCCTTATCCTCAGAGATTAAAGAACGAGATTCAGAAGCAACAGTATTCAAAGTTTCTAGACATATTCAAGAGGTTGCAGATCAACATTCCTTTTGTCTAAGCTTTAGAGAACAAGCCCAACTATGCAAGGTTCATGAAGGATCTATTATCAAGGAAGCGTAAGTTGCGGGAATGTGAGATGGTAAATTTGACAGAAGGATGTAATGCTATCATCCAAAAGAAGTTAACTACCAAAGTCAAGGATCCAGTGAGTTTTAGCATTCAATGCACTATAGGCAAAGTGGAAGTGGGCAACGTTTTATGTGATCTTGGAGCTAGCGTCCATGTCATGCCACTCTCCATGATGAAGAAGCTGGGGATTACTGAAGTGAAGCCCACAAGAACAATAGTGCAACTGGCTGACCGCTCTTCAAAGCAAGCTTATGGCATCATTGAGGATATATTGGTCAAGGTAGACAAATTCATCATTCCTGTTGATTTTGTCATCCTTGATATTGAAGAAGACACCATTATTCCTATGATTTTTGGAATACCCTTCTTGGCAACTTCAGGGGCACTGATTGATGTACTTAAGGGTGAGTTGATCTTACGGGTAGACGGAGAGCAAGCAATTTTCAAGTTCTTTGATAAAGAAAATTCTCCACCTGAAGTTCAATCGGAAGATCAAGTATACTATATTATTGAAAAGAAAGGTGAAGAAGAACACAATAAGGAGTCTTCTCAAGAAAGTAAGCCTAAAGTTAAAATGAAGAAGCCCAGGAGCGAGGAAAAACATATAAATACCAAATTCAAAGTTCTTGAGGCTACTGTATCTCACTCATATGCACAAGGGCACTATGGTAGGACACAATTTATGAATGATGGAGCTTGGATATCACCAAGCTCATGCTTTGAGCCCCCATGAAAATCAGGTACGCCAGGCTCGTGACGTTAAACAAACGCTAATGGGTAGGCAAACCCACATTTTACTGTTTTATTTTAATTTCACTGTTTTAGTTATTTTTACTTTGAATTAAATAAAGAAAAAAATAAAAAAAAAAGATAAGAGAAGGTGTTGAGACTAATGGCTATCATTGAGTGAATTTTACAGGTGAAGAAAAGGGAACAAACAACAAGAGAGGGACTAGTTGTTTTTATTTCTCGACGCGTTTTCTTTTTAGATTTAAATTTGTTGCTGAGGTCAACAACATTTAAAAATGGGAATGGGGAACGCGCAATTCATCTAAGCACAATTAAATAAGCTGGAGAAACTTCATGAGCATACACAAAATATTCGGCTAAAACAGGGAACTATCTCAAATCCTTTCTCCTTTGATTTAGCTTAATTCTTTTTGAATTGAATTTTTAATATTTAGTTTATTTTGAAAAACCCCAAGCCATTGTTTTGTGAAAATTCTGAAAATTTTACTCAGTGCTTTTAAATGGAAAATGGCAGGAATTTGAATCAGTGATTGATTCAGAGCATGATGATGCACTCATATAAATTTTCATAATGAGCATCAATGTAATGATTTTCATGATTTATTGAATATTCTCTTTAGTGATGAAATTTTTTGAGATGAGGAATAGGAAAATTACTGTGCATTCATAGCCGTGAGGTTTTGAGCCTATACACAAAATTTTTATTGAGTGTGCATCCCACTGTATGAAATACTCTAGAACTTGCTTTGTTTCTTGCTTGAATTGGTATGTGATATATTTTATGGATATGATTAAGGCATGTTCTTTCTTTAAACTAGATGGCCAAATACCAACCATTGCTAACATTCCTTAGTTAAACCCTTTTGAGCCTAGGCCTGTTTATTCTTTGAAAACCTATGAAGATGAATAAGCCAATTTCCATATAAATCCTCACCTTATTTGAGATTAACTTTTAGATTTGAATTGAGGAACAAATGCTAATTAATTGATTACATAAATTGTGATGTATGAGAGTACATGGAAGAAAGGCAAAAGCTAAGGAAGTAAGGTTGGTTAGAATGAAAAAGAAACAAAGAAAGAAAAGGAAAATTTCTCAGAAAGAGGAAAAAGAAAAGAAGTCAAAAGAAAGAAGAAAACTTGTTCTGAGAAAAGAGAATGACAAACAAGATAAAAGTTCAAAAGAAAAAGAAGAACAATGGACCAAAAAGAAGGAGAAAGTTGTTTACAAATTGTTAAACGATTACATTTATTCGTCTTTGAATCTGGATTTTAATCTTGGAGCTCATTCTCTAAATTTTCCCTTCCTTCAACCATGCCAAGTTATAACCCTAAACAAGACCTCTTGATCTGTTGGATATGTCACAATAACCATGGAGAGCGAGAATATAAGCAAGCCTATAGTAGTGTTGATTCAGTGGGATACGAGTGAAACACCAACCCTCTAAACAGTTGAGTGTGAGTGAATTGAATTCCTAGTGATGGAGTGTTTTAGGAAATTTTTCTTATTCTTGATCTTAAGAAATTTTGTTGCAGCTTTTAACTAATGAATTATGAATCTTGTTAATTGATGTATCATTCCTTAGAGTTTGAATGCTCTGTAATCATGTATCTGATTGAGTCATTCCTGTGAAAATTTCATGCAATTGAGGATTCAGATTCCTACTCCCTATTCCCCTAGTTTTATTCTGATTGATTGCTGAGGACAACAATATTCAAATCTCAAAATGTTTGATAAACCATTAGTTTACCATGTTTTTATGCTAAATTCTACAAGAATTACATGGTAGATTGCATGGAATTCAAGATGTTATATGATAAAATCATAAAGATTTGAAAATTGAGCTAATGTTTTGATATCTTGCTTATTTTGAAGGTAAATCCATAAGATTTGGTGCTAAGAAGTGATAAAGGAATCATAACAAAGATTTGAAGCTCAATCTGTCAGCCCAATCTGCAGGATCTTAAATAAAAATAGAAACAAGTCAAGATTTGATTGGGAATTGATAGAGATTCATAGGGATATTTGATGAAGAATTAAAAGATATGTCTTCAAAGGTTATAAATAGGGAGCTTGGGGTCAATGGAATTAACCAATTCACAGACACACCAAGGAATTACACAGAGACCCAAGGGAGGGATCCTGTTGCGGAGCGTTAGATCACTGAGGAACCAAGTCAACATCACACCAATGGAGGCTTGGGGAACTATTTTCTTTCTTATTGCTTTTGAATTCAGTATGCTAGGCTAAGTTTTTCTGTAGTTAGGGGTAGATGGAACCCAATTGATTCCTTATGTTTATGAAATAAATTGTCTCTGAATTCTTCTCTTTTTATATTTGAATAGATTTATCTCTCTTTAATGCTTTCTATGAGTTTGTTCCTTATAGATTGATTTAGGAGAATTGTATGACAATAGGGATGTTGGTGCATGAACCCTGATTTGATAAATTTATCACAATCCTTGTGATCTAGGGATAGACATAGACCAATTGTGCAATCTTTAAATTTTTGATCTTAATGCATGTTTTCTTGGGGAATAATCGGGGAACTAGAGTTCTTTCAAGATCACATAGATTTGAGGTAACAAGGAAATAAGCCTAATTAACTTAGAAAGAATTGATTGACATTATATTAAGAACAGATTCTTGACAGTTTATTTCAAAGCATATAGAGGAGATTGGAGGAAGTCAAAACCTTAACTACGCTTGTTTTTTAAATTCTTAATCAATCAATCATCTTTTCAATTGTTCTTTTTAATTCTGAATTTCTATTTACATGTTATTAATTATTTTTAATTTCACTTCTCTTCATCTCAATCTTTGTTGTACAACTAAATCGTTGCTAGTGAACTAGTACTTGAAAACCAATCCTCGTGGGAACGATCTCGTACTCGGTACACTTTTATTACTTTTACGACCGATGCACTTGCCGAAGTCGCAACAAAATTCTTTTTCATTTAAAACATTTGATGGAGGAAATCATTTTCGTCAAAACTTTTGACAGAAACTAAATTTTGATAGAAAAA